GTGGGGAAAAAAAAGATCTTGCAAATTTGGAATTGATTGATTGAACTTTTTAGTCCCATCAGGTCTGCCATTACCACTGCAGCCACGCCCACCCAGTGGGCCACGCCCACCTGGCACCCGACGATATATAAGTGGGTTTTGGGTTGCAGTTTGGGCATTCAGTCTCTAAAAGGTTCGCCATCACTGGAATAGAATAAGGAGCTGGAAGGGACCTTGGGGGTCTTCTAGTCCTGCCCCCTGCTCAAGCAGGAGAGCCTATACCAAAGGTCGGCAACCTGCAGCTCCAGAGCCGCATGCGGCTCTTTGAGCCTTCCCCTGTGGCTCCCAGCCTCCTCTGCCTTTGCAGAGAGAGACAGAGACAGAGAGAGGCAATTGCGCTTCCCTGCTTCTCTCTCTCTCTCTCTCTCTCTGTGTGTGTATGTGTAAAAGAGAGTGCACTCACAGTGTTCTCCGAGGAGCTGAAAAGCTTACTGGGCGGAACTCCTCCCTTTGCTGCGTCTCTGCAGGAAGCAGGAAGGGCAGGAGAGAGCTAGCTAGCCCAGCTAGGCTGACTCAGGAATTCTGGGAGTTGAAGTCCATGAGTCATAAAAGAGACGAGGTTGCTTACCCCTGAGCTTGTTGGACAACAGCTTGAAGCTTGCCAGGTGAGCAGCAGATGGGGGGGGGGAGAAAGAGAGAGAGAAAAAGATAGAGAGGGAGGGAGGGAGAGAGAGAGAGAGAGGAAAAGAGAGAGAAAGAGAGTGGGGGAAGAGGAGTGGCAGACCAAGGGCAGATAGGGAGGGAGAGAGAGAGAGAGACAGAGAGGCCCTTTTGACATCTAAAATGAAGATAACACTGCATATATCCTTTTTTTACCTGTGTGTGTATGTAATTTTATTCTCTTAAAGCATTCTCTTGGTGATTATTGTTTTAATAGTATGGATATTCCCAAGAATCATATTTTTACTTTTATTTTTAATGTGTGTGTGTGTGTGTGTGTATTATGTATACATATACATACATACATACACACACACACACACAAACACACACACCTATAATAAAGGTAAAAAAGGATATATGCAGTGTTATCTTCATTTTAGGTATCAAAAGGATTTTGCGGCTCCCGGTGTTTTGTTTTTGGTGGGAAACAGGTCCAAGTGGCTCTTTGAGTGTTTTGGGTTGCTTGCCCCTGGTCTAGTCTCTTCTTAAAAATCTCCAGTGATGGAGCACCCACGATTTCTGGGGGCAAGCAGTTTGTGAGTTCTAGACCCGCCTCAGGCACGAAAGCCATCTGGGTGACTTTGGGCCGGCCAGTCACTCACTCTCTCTCACCCCACAGGGTGGTCCTTACGGGGAAAACAGGAGGAAGGAATACTAGATACGTTTCGCCGCCTTGAGTTGCTTATAAAATAATAATAATAATAAAGGCGGGATGTCAAGAAACCAAAATAATTTGGCAACTCTTGGATGGCCAAGATTTGAACCCCAATCTTCCCTCTCTGAAAAGTTACAAGGAGAGGGGACACATGGGAGTCACTGAATGCTTCTGTGGCCTCAAATCGGGGTTGCAAACTTTTGCAGGTGGAGGCATCCTTCCAGTTTTGTAAAATCACACACACACACACACACACAGAGGCGAACAACCAAGATCTTCCCCTTCCCCTTTTAGGTCACTCAACCCAAGTGTCCTTGATTTCTCTTTAACAGCTCTGGCTGCTTTTGCAGTTAAATGGAGTGTTCATTATTGAGGGGTCCTCCCCCCCCTTTCTCCTCCTCCTCCTCCTCCTCCTCCTCTTCAGGGGCTTTCTGAAGGTCTGTGTGGTGCAGTTTAATGAATATTTGGCACAAAGCTCTCTTTCAGGCAAGGCAAAGAATAGGCTGGCCTGTTTAGGTCCTGGAAGGCTGTATGTCAAACCCTTTCCATAATGCTTGTCAGGCGAGGACAGAAATTCCCACTCTCTGACTTACTCGACTGAGGAGCAGATTAAGACGCAAGCAGGAAATGAGATTGTGTGCGAGGGACACCTGTTTGGCCGCTCTCATTTTCCCATCGCTGGAGGGAGAAAGGAAGAAAAGAAAAGGGTCCACTTTGATCAAATTAAAGGGAGAGAAAGTGGGGAGAGAGAGAGAGAGAAAAAAGAATCCTCTCATTTTGGCCATGCTCCATCCCTCGTCCTTGGTCTCTTTCTGTCCATCTTGTTAACGGTAGGGGGTGGGGGAAACTGTTTGCCATTCAGGAGGGTTCTGATACAGCCACAATCGACAAGGCAGTCCAAGCAAAGTGGGATAGGTAGGTAGGCAGATTTCCATATTGAGAAAGAGAGTTGGGACAGAGAGAGAGAGAGAGAGAGAGAAAGAGAAAAAGAAGGAAGTTAGGAAGGAAGGAAGGAAGGAAGGAAGGAAGAAAAGGAAAAAAGAGAAAGAAAGGGGAGAGGGAGGAAGAAAAAGACAGAGAAAAAAGAGAAAAAGAAAGGAGAGAGAGAAAGAGAAGGAAAAAGAGAAAGTCAGAAAAAAGATGAGAGCGCGAGAGAGATGAGATAGATTTCCCTATTTGGATAGCCAGCTACCTAGATATTCCGTATATGGATGGATGGTTAGATAATTTGATAGACAGTCAGACAGAGAAAAATAGATAGACAGACACAGAGATTCTCATATTGGCACACACAGATGATAGACTGATCTAGAAATCAATAGATAGATTCCTATATATGCAAATAAATAGACGGATTTCTACATTTGTATATAGATACCGGTATAGACAGACAGATAGATAGATGATAGATTTCCATATGGGGATAGATAGATAGATAGATAGATAGATAGATAGATAGATTGATTTCCACATTTGTAGAGCTAAAGCTAGATAGATGAAAGATAGATTTCCATATTTGTAGAGATGGATGGATGGATGGATAGATCTATCTCCATATTGGATGGATTAGATAGGTGAATTAGATAGATGGATTAGTAGATAGGTAGATGGATAGGTAGTTAGGTAGGTAGATAGATTTCCACATTTGTAGAGATAGATAGATGGACAGATAGATATAGATAGATAGATCTCTATATTTGGATAGACAGCTTTCCATATTTGTAGAGATAGAAAGACAGATAATTTTGTAAAGACATACAGACAGACTGACAGATCGTTCAGGGGGTTGGACTCGACCTTCAATATTCTTGAATGAAAAACTAAGTTTCAATGATAGCTTACGGAGAAAAATGTTGCCTTCCTCCCCCTCCCCCCATCCAAATTCAGGGATGTCCGAAAATCTAAGGAGGATCCTTTAAGAAACCCTTGTACTAAATGCTTCCAACTTTGTTATTCTGTTTTGCTTTTTGTGCCTTTTCACTTTTTCCTGGTTGACCCCCAGATGGGAGACCACCAGGAGATCTCAAGAGCTGGAAGCTGGCCTAAAAATGTCAAAACTGTAGAAATTTCCAGAAATTGACCCTGGCACAACTTCCTTTCTTAAAGCTAAGAAAACTACCCCAAGGTTCCCACCACGAGTCAAAAAACTCACCCGGAAGAAGGTTCCCACCTCCCTTTCTACAGACGTACCGCTTTATAAAGCCTTAGTAAGGCCACACCTGGAAGACTGCATCCAGTTTTGGTCACCACATTACAAAAAAGATGTTGAGACTTTGGAAAAAGTGCAAAGAAGAACCACTGATGATTAAAGGTCTGGAGACTAAAACATATGTAGAACCGTTGCAGGAACTGGGTTTGGCTAGTCTAGAGAAAAGAAGGACTAGTAGGTGACATGACAGCTACTGTATTTGACGGGCTGCCACAAAAAAGAGGGGGTCAAGCTATTCTCCAAAGCACCAGAGGGCAGGACAAGAAACAACAGATGGAAACTAATCAAGGAGAGAAGCAACCTGGAATTAAGGAGAAACTTCCTAACAGTTAGAACAATTAACCAGTGGAACACATTTTTTTTCTTATGAAATTGTTCAACAATTCCTTCCTTCCTTCCTTCCTTCCTTCCTTCCTTCCTTCCTTCCTTCCTTCCTTCCTTCCTTCCTTCCTTCCTTCCTTCCTCCCTCGTTTCCCATGGATGCAACCTAATCCAGGAGACAAACAACTTGGAATTAAGGAGAAACTTCCTAACAGTGAGGACAATCAACCAGTGGAACAGCTTTCCTCCAGAAATCATGGGCGCTCCATCACTGAGGTTTTTAAGAAAAGACTGGACAGTTACTTGTCTGAGACGGTGTAGGTTCTCCTGTTTGAGCAGGGGGCTGGACTAGAAGACCTCCAAAGTCCCTTCCAGCTCTATTCTGATTGGTACTGGCGGCTTTTAAGAAGAGACTGGACAGTCACTTAGTCTGAAAGGGTATAGGGCAGGGGTCTTCAAACTTAGCCCTTTTATGACTTGCGGACTTCAACTCCCAGAATTCCTCAGCCAGGTACGCTGGCTGAGGAATTCTGGGAGTTGAAGTCCGCAAGTCATAAAAGGGCCAAGTTTGAAGACCCCTGGTAGAGCAGGGTTCTCAACCTTGGCAACTTTAAGACTTGCTGGCTGAGGAATTCTGGGAATTGAAGTCCACAAGTCTTAAAGTTGCCAAGGTTGAGAACCCCTGCGGTAGAGGGTCTCCTGCTTGAGCAGGGGGCTGGACTAGAAGACCTCCAAGGTCCCTTCCAGCTCTATTCTCATTTAGTTCGGATTGACGTCAAATCCCAGCCCCCCCAGGCCATTAAAGAGTTAACCGCCCCCCTCCTCTCCGCCCCCGCCGAGCCCCTTTCCCGTCCTCCGCCCCCGCCTCCCCCGCCCGCCGAGGGAAAGCCGAGGGGTGGGGAAAGCAGCCGACGGGCAGCCGCGCCATCGCTCGCAGCTCGCCGAGTTTGCAGCGGTGGCCCCGGCAACAGGCAAGCCGGCCCCGGTCGCAGCTCGCTCCTCTCCGGAAGCTCCGGAGGGAGGGAAAGATGCTCCGTCCAGCCGGGAACCCGCCTCTTCGACCCCGCAACTTTTTAGCTCCCGGAGCCCCGCAATAGAGCCGCCCCCGCCGCGATGGCCGTGCAAGCGGCTCCGCTCCCGCCTCCCCACCACCATCCCTTCGTCCCCTTCGGCTTCCCGCCGGCCGATTTCGAGGGAGGCGGCGGCGGCGGCGGCGGAGCGCTGCTGCTGCTGGAAGGCGTCGGCGGGGCCCACAGCGGAGGCGGCGGCATCGCTTCTTGCACCGACCCGGGCGACTTCCGCGAGGCGACCCGCGAGCTGCTCAGCTTCATCGACTCGGCCTCCAGCAACATCAAGCTGGCCCTGGACAAGCCGGGCAAGTCCAAACGGAAAGTCAACCATCGCAAGTATCTGCAGAAGCAGATCAAGCGCTGCACCGGCCTCATCGGCGGGGCGTCCGCCAACCCGGAGGCCGCCGCCGCCGCCGTCTCCGCCTCTTTCGCCGCGGCAGCTCCCGGTCCGGTTCCCGCTTCGGCCGCCAACGCCACCAAGCCAGCGTCGACGTTGACGGCGCCCTCTAGCGGCGGCGCGGCATCGTCCTGCAGGCCTGCGGCCAAACGCGAGAGCCACGCGCTGCAGAGCAAAAGTTTAGCGGCGCTTTTCGACGCCTTGCGCTCGCCGGGTTTGGAGCGAAAGGGATCCCCGACGGCCGCGGCAAGCGCGGCGGCGGCGGCTGCTCCCGCCGCCGGGCTGGGGAGCGACGTGGGCGGCAAGGAGGCCGGGTCTAGCCCGGCGGCGGCGGCGGCGGGGGGCGCCTGCAAGAAGGTGCCTCTGCGGAACCGCAACCTGCCCGTCTCCTTCTTCACCGAGCCGGCCCCGCCAAGCCGGGCGCCCAATCCGGCCGGTTTGGAAGAAGCCGTCCCGTCGGTGGCCGAGGAGCTTTTCGATCTGCTGGCCGCCGCTCCCGATTACCGCGCCTTGCTGCAGGAGTCCGCGGAGCCGCCGGCCGTCTTTCCGGGCCCCGTTTTGCAAGCGGCGGCGGAGCTGCCGCTGGAGCCGCCGTTGTACGAGCCGCTGCCGTCGCTGGCGCCCCTGCTGTATGCCGAGCCCCCCTTGCGCCCCCTGCCGGCCCTCTACGCCGCCGTCGCCGCCGCCGCTTCGGATCCCGCGGCGCCCTTCTTTGCGGATTGCCCGCTGCCCCCTCCCCCGGCCGTGCCCTACGATTACGGCTACAATCGGGGGGTGCCTTACCCCAGCCTTTAGCCCTTCGTGGACGGAAGGGACGAGGAAGCGGGGGTGGGGTGGGCTGGGGTAGGAGGAATGGCGGGACCCCCGCTATCGGGGGCCAAGCGAGTGAGGTGTGGCCTTGGAGGGCGAGGGAGCTCTGGAAGTGGCCACCGACTCATTGTAGGACTACTTCGGAAAGACTTGGGCAGTCCGGCCCTGCCTGATGACCTCTGGGTGTGCCGGACCCCATCTCCCATCCTCCTCCAAGCCTCACCTCCAATTATGCAGACGTGGGTTGAACTTCCGGAGCGGTCCTGAAAGGCTTTGATCAAAGGAAAGTTGGATGGGGACAGTTGAAGAGTGACTCTGTAGGACTACTTCGAGAAAGCCTGGGCAGTCTGGCCCTGCCTGATGACCTCTGGGGGTGCCGGACCCCATCTCCCATCCTCCTCCAAGCCTCACCTCCAATTATGCAGACTTGGGTTGAACTTCGGAGCGCTCCTGAAAGGCTTTGACATCAAAGGAAAGTTGGATGGGGACGGTTGAAGACTGACTGTTAAGAGAACCAGTAGCCTCTTAATGGAAGAGGCCCCTTGTTCCCAGGAATTTGGGGGAGCCCCAGGATAGTTAGCCTATGTAAAGTCTTAAATCGAGATCACTCTATAATTGTAACTTCTTCATACTCTTTATGGGCCAGTTTTGTCCAAGCTGAATAAGTTCTTGTGATTTGGGGGGAAGAATTCATGTTGGACAGGAGACTTGGGATTTGCCTGCCTAGGTTGGGTTCCAGAAGAAAATCATAAAGGTCCCTGGTGGTTAGAAGGCAGTATTGCAGGCTAACTCTGCCCACTGCCAGGAGTTCGATCCTGACGGGGCTCAAGGTGGACTCAGCCTTCCATCCTTCCGATGTCGGTAAAATGGGGGACCCAGATTGTTGGGGGGCAAGTATGCTAACTCCCTAAACCACTTAGAGAGGGCTGTAAAGCACCATGAAGTGGTATATAAGTATATTGCTATTTCTTGATCCGTCTTCTCTGTTTGCACATCTGAATCAAGTTCGGTGTGCAGACGGCCAACTATTCTCTGAAGTGTGAATCTGAAGGGGCCTCATTTGTAGGAGAACCAAAAGATCTAAGGTTTACTTTTGTGCAAATGTGCAAAGGATGGGGGGGGTGAGGGGAGAGTTCCTGGAATGGAAAGTTTCTACACAGAAGGCTGGAGATGGCCCTTTTATGACTCGTGGACTTCAACTCCCAGAATTCCTGAGCCAGCATGGAGGAAACTTTGGCTCCTTCATGACTTGTGGACTTCAGCTCCGAGAATTCCTGAGCCAGCCATGCTGAGGGGAAAGGGAGAGGTTTCCAAGCTGAGCCATGCTGGCTCAGGAATTCTGGGAATTAAAGTCCACAAGTCATGAAGGGGCCAAAGTTTCCCCCCTGCTGGCTCAGGAATTCTGGGAGTTGAAGTCCACGAGTCATAAAAGAGCCAAGGTTGCCTATCCCTGGTATAGACAGATGGGAATATCTACAGTGCCAATCTGCAGACTTCATTCCTCTCTCTTTTTTTTAAAGTTGCAGTTCTGGAGGAAGCAAGAGAATGGCATGCATTTATGATAGTTGTAATGTCCCAGGGTCATGTGATCACCTTTTGCGACCTTCTGACCACAGAAACCAGATTCACTTAACAACGATGTTACTAACTTAACTGCAGAGATTCCCTTAACAACTGTAGCAAGAAAAGTTGTAAAATGGAGCAAAACTGTCTTGCTTAGCAATGGAAATTTTGAGCTCAATTTGGGTGGTACATCCAGGATTACTTGTATCTATATTTAAGAACCCTACATACAATCTACTGTTCTTTAAGATGTGAGAGTTATATAGGTGTTACATCGTATCATGCTTCTGTGTCCAGGGCTGACCAGGTTCTGGTGCTGAATGGTGTTTGGCTATGCGCATCTGACAATCCCCAAAAGCAGTGTTTCTCAACCTTGACAATTTTAAGGCATGTGGACTTCAACTCCCAGAATTCCACAGCCAGCAATGCTGGCTGTGGAATTCTGGGAGTTGAAGTCCACATGCCTTAAAATTGTCAAGGTTGAGAAACACTGCCCAAAAGGGATGGATCTGGTCATGTCATGCTTGCTAACGCTTCATTCATGTACAGCATAGAATTGTATGGATAAGGATGTGTGGAGAAAGGTATTTGTTTTTTTTCTCATGGTCACCATTCATAGTTTTAGTTTAGTATATGCATACAGATCAAACTAGTAGGCAACCTTGGCTCTTTTATGACTCGTGGACTTCAACTCCCAGAATTCCTGAGCCAGCATGGCTCAGCTTGGAAACCTCTCCCTTTCCCCTCAGCGTGGCTGGCTCAGGAATTCTGGGAGTTGAAGTCCACGAGTCATAAAAGAGCCAACGTTGCCTACTCCTAGAACAGGGGTTCTCAACCTTGGCAACTTTAAGACTTGTGGACTTCAACTCCCAGAATTCCTCCCAGTTCCTGCTGGCTGAGGAATTCTGGGAGTTGAAGTCCACAAGTCTTAAAGTTGCCAAGGTTGAGAACCCCTGACCTAGAATATAGAACAACAGAGTTGGAAGGGACATTGGAGGTCTTCCATTCCAACCTCCTACTTGAGCAGGAGACCCTATAGTACCATTATACATAGGTGGCTGTCTAGTCTTTTCTTAAAAACCTCCAGTGATGAAGGACCTACAACTTCTGGAGGCAGGTAGTTCCACTGGTTAATTGTCCTCACTGTTAGGAAGTTTCTCCTTAATTCCAGGTTGCTTCTCTCCTTACTTAGTTTCCATCCGTTGCTTCTTGTCCTGCCTTCAGGGGCTTTGGAGAATAGCTTGACACCCCCCCTTCTTTGTGGCAGCCCCTCAAATAGTGGAATACTGCTATCATGTCACCCCTAGTCCTTCTTTTCATTAAATTAGACATACAGTATTCAATTCCTGCAACCGTTCTTCATATGTTTTATCCTCCAGTCCCCTTAATCATCCTTGTTGCTCTTCTCCGCACTCTTTCCAGGGATTGTATTTTAGACAGGCATTCCTTAGCACTTCAGTGGACATTATAAATAATGAAAAGGTGATTTGTGCTTAAAATGTATATGTGATTTACAGGGGATTTTTCTAATATAAGGCTGTGCAACATGTGCCAGGTCAATATCACCCTAGACGAAGGGTCTTCAAACTTGGCCCTTGTAGGACTTGTGGACTTCAACTCCCAGAATTGCCTGGCTGAGGAATTCTGGGAGTTGAAGTCCAGAAGTCCTAAAAGGGCCAAGTTTGAAGACCCCTGATCTAAACCGGGGGTATCCAACCTTGGTGACTTTAAGACCTGTAAACTTCAACTCCCAGAATTCCCCAGCCAATCATGTTGGCTGGGGAATTCTGGGAGTTGGAAGTCCACAGGTCTTAGCGTTGCCAAGATTAAACATCCTTTATCTAAAAAGTGTACCTGAAACTCTTTTGAGATCCTCATTCTGCACAAATTGGGAGCTTTGTGTATGAGGTATAAATACAGTCTAAATTGCTATTGCAGGATCACGCCTCCTCCTTTTGCAAAAAGTGTGACTCAGCAGTTATTTGCAAAGTTGGGATTGGTTATGTCAGGGGTAAGCAACCTTGGCTCTTTTAAGCCTCGTGGACTTCAACTCCCAGAATTCCTGAGCCAGGAGTTAAAGTCCACGAGTCATAAAAGTTCCCAGGTTGCCTACCCTTGGACTAGGAACATGCCACATTTGTAAAATGGCTCGCAAAATTCTGAGAAAGAGCTGGAGGGTTAATTCATTTCGACCTTCGGAGGGCCAGCAAAATGCAAGATTTAAAAACACTTGGAAAACTTGCAAATTCAAATTTAATTTAATGTTATTCAGACCATGAATGTAACGTCTGCTTCTGGCAAAATTATTTCGAGAATATCTTAGCTCCTTCTCTAGAAACTTAGGGCAACAGTTTTTGACCCACATCACAGACATACAAATGCACAGTCATACTTCTCCTGGATTACAGCAGATCAGTTGAATGTTGATCCCATTTTCTTAAGAAACGTTTACAGGCAATTAATTTCTCTCCCTTCCTAGGGTTGATGGAGGTTCAGATCCCCGTGGTTAAATATTTCGCAATACAAAATGGAGAGGTATTTAATTCCTCGGGGTTGTATTTTGATACAATGCAATAAATGGTGCGGTTAGACAGTTCTTTAGCATTTAGTTTAACTTTTAACTGTTGGCAACTGATTGTATTGTTTCCGTTGAGTTCTTTTGGACCCAGAGACTATTCTCTTTCAGCTGTGACTAATGAGTTCCAATTTCAGTTTTTAAACAACAGCCCCCCCTTTGGCTGCTCCTGTTCTTGCAGTGTTGGTGTCTATTCCTGTGCATTGTGACTCTGTCTTGTCATTAGTGGGTGCAAACCAATGTTGCTAATTCAAGAAAATGACATTTGTAATGTTGTGACTAAATCCTGAAAAATTCAACCTTGCTCAGGTTGCGCTAGAGCAGAGTTTTTATTGTAGAGTGCTGTTTAGCTGGTAGATATTAAATCCCAAACTCTCAGTGGGCTAAGCCTGGCTTTGCTAGCCATGGTTTGTGAAGAAAAAGATGGCTGGGTTCTGCAACATACAGAGCCATAAATCGTGGATGGCTGAACCGTGGGATCTCACAAGATCCGAAGCCAAGCAAAAACAATAGTTGGCTTAGAGCAGTGTGTGAAACCAAGGCTACATATCACAGAGACTTAATCTTGAGACTTAATCTGTTTTAGGTTTTGGTTAACAACGTATCAAAAGATACCGCAAAGAATCATTTGGGGACTATTCAAGGTGAACCGAGGCAAACTGAAGCGTCGATCCCGTTTTGCAACATCTCATGAACTTGTGGAGGCTGTTAAGAACAACGCCACTGGAACCATCTTGCGCACAAAAGTACAATTTGAGAATTAAGTTATGCTAATTAAACTCTGTCAAGCTGCACCGTGCTATAATGATTAATGACAAACAATGGGGGGAGGGGGAAGGGTTACAGA